CCAAATTTAGTCAAAACTCTCCTCAAGAAATCCTAGTCCACCAAGTCATAAGCCTTTTCCAAGTCCAACTTACAAACCACTCCCTTCTTCYTATCCCTCTTAAAGTTCTCCACACTCTCATTAGCAATTAAAATCTGATCAGTAATTTGTCTCCCACTCACAAAGGCTCCTTGATAGAATTAGTATTTGACCTGTGACCCGCTGATGGGTTAAATGGTATAGCAATTCAACCACTAGGTCATTGGGTTATTGAACCTATCAACGATTTTTGGTAGACAAGCATTCCAATGGTAAAAGAGACCTAAAATTTTGGCCAAGTGATAGGACAACCAATGGGACCAATCAGTTCAACCATGGGTTGAAAACATTATTTCTTTGTTATCAGGGTTGATATCCCCACTATGTCTCTATTGCATACCAAAATCTCAGATAAAAGATTACAGTTAGAGAAACAATAAATCATACTGTTGAAAAGCACTAATAACCTAGATTACTTACTTGATCAGCATTCTTCCGGGATTCTTCAATTGCTTTAGACAGCTCCTCCACACGTTTATCATAAACATCAAGATTTGGGGGCTTAACATTCCGTGAAAGATCACCATTAACAGAGCCACTTGCAGCAGAGCGTGCTTTGGAGTATCTCCGCAGCATTACATCATTTATATGTGTTTGAAGGGCAACACAAATTTCTTCTCCCTGCAACAAATTTGGGAATTCCAATCTAGATAAAGACATATTCTACTAAAAAAATCTAGATAAAGACATCTGGGGGATGAGGATGCCTATTTAACAAATGAAAAATATAAAATCCCAAAATCTAAAAAGGAATACAATGACATGCAACAGAAAAGCAATAAAAGATGTTTATGACCTGCTTAGTTTCAAACTGAAATATGTGGAGGACACCTGCTACTCTCATCTTAAAAAAGACAGCAGTATTGCTACTACCAAATTGCATTATATCTCTCAACTCAGCAGAATGTAAATATTCTTTTGGAACAGGACGGAAAAAATGGACCTGGAGAAGCAAGCAATAAAATCCATAGTTCAGAATCTAGTAGATCTACAAATAATAGTTTATAACATAATATCAGAAGAGTTAAAAATGTCTAACCCACCCCACGCTTGTTGATGCCCAAAATTATCCGACCAGGCAGAAGCCCAATGGGGTCATCAATCTTGCGAACACCAAAAAACACTGAGTTTCCATAAGGAAGTGTTCTCAAGATCCGAAGGAATTGTTGCCTTGCATCATCTTTTGACAAATGCTCCTAAATAGACAATAAAAACCTATGAGAACCTTTTTTTCTCAAAAGCAAGTAAAAAAGAATAGCAATCATGATTCCAAAAAAGGAAGAAACATTGATTTGTGTGTAAAAGTAAAATATATTCATGCAGTGCAAAGAGGCGGGCAAGGAAATTGAAACAAAATTGAAATCCAGGATCAAAATTTTGAAAGTGGTTGATTTAAGGAATTGCAAGCTTACAACTTTTTCCCTGCTGAAAACATTTCAGAAAGGAAATAACACTTTTTAAATTTACCATCAAATGGTAACGTGAAAGAATATCTAGCTCCCACTCCCGTTTTGCACGTGTAATTACAATTTGTCTGGGTAAGAATCTCTCAAGCAGTGATGTCCGGTCACTGAAAAAATAACAGCAGTTTCAGAAATAAAAATCAATAAATTTTGATTCAGTCTCAAAAATTACAGTTGCACATAGCCTCATTGTGCAGAGCTTTGTAATTTTTGCAGATATTTTATATAATACGTTACCTTTTCTCATAAAAAATTAATTCAATTATGACCAAAGGAACACAATAACAAATTAAATACAATAGCCAAGCAAGAAAAGAGGATATTCTGAATTACTGACGTGCATAATTCAGGGTTCCTGATGAATCCTATCTCAACTAAAATTTGCAGCGCAGAAAGTTGTGCAGCATCATCTCTTCCAACAGGATAATTTCCCAAAATATAATCATGTTGCAACTGAAATAAAAATGATTAGCAACCATTTAGTATTTTACCAAGTCTAAAACTCATCAAGTAAAATTGGATTATAAATGACCAATAAGATTAGGCACTGTTAATATAGATAAAAGAAGTTAAGGCTATCTAAAACTATAATAGTAAAACAAGGACTAAAGATTGGTCCAGCAAAGGAAAGAATAAATTAAATCCAGAGGAAGCAATTGGGTTAGCCTAGGTCAACAGATTGCAAAAATGACTTTATAAACAAATAAAGCCCTATACTACACAGACACAGCCGGAGACCATTGCATATAGAGATAATTAGTACAATGGCAAAAATAGGTCAAGAAATTAAAGAAACCACTCTAGTTTGAGTTTAGACAAGGATAGAGAACAGAGAAATTTGTTGTAATTGGAACTCTAGCATTTTCTTGTCCTTATGCACTCCACATGTCTACTCATAATAAAACAGAAAAACGAAGGAGATGTGACAATAGATGCATTGTAAGGGCAAAATCTCTTCCGTCCTCATATTTCCCAGAAATAGTACAAGTTCATCAGTCTGAGATTTGAACTGTCCAGGTTACTGGTTATATTGTTACTGGGCATGACTCCAGTATATGGTCAAACTAAGTTACCAAGGGATCTGGGGTCAGCTTAAATGGCCTGACACCTTAAACACTTTTTTTTGATAAATAAATGAACTTTTTATTGATTTGGAAAAGTTAGCACATACAAGCAGCCCTTGGAGAGGCGCGAGCTGCGATCTCTCCACTAAAGAAGAAAACAAAAGTAATAAGTTACAGTTGTGCCCAATACAAAACTTCCCTAGCTGCCCCTTGCTTGGCTAGACAGTCCGCCCTGACACCAGAAACACTGCAATTATTCAAATATTGCTACAAATTGAGCTACATACCTGCACATAGGACAACTGCACAAACATCGGGTCTGTCACAGCCTCATCTGATTCTCGAAACAACTTTTTTTTTAATGAAAGTTTGCAATGCAAGATCTCTCCTTTACTGCGATCTTTAGCTGCCTTGAATTCCGCCAGCAAATCTCCAATGTATTTATTATCATCTAATCCAATATATTCTTCTAGGTAACATGATAAAATGCATTACCAAATGATTGTATACAATATGCAAATTTAAAACAAGCAACTAAAATTTAATAAAGTGCTAAAGATAGTTACCAGTTCCAGGATCAGGTGATTTAGAGCCAGTAACAACTTTACGGCACTCAAATAGGCTAAAACTAGAATATGTCGTAAGTTTGATAATCCCTGCAAGTTCCTAAAAGGCAAATATTAAATCAGTAGAGAAAAAATATGAAAAATTATACAGTAAAAGCTCCAAACAGTAAATGTCCATCTTCTAAAAACTATTCTGAAAACCTGGTGAAACTTGGATTATTAGCCAAATATGAAGAAATCAAATATAAATGTTAATAACCAACAAGCCACACAAACAAATCTTCATCAAATAATATATTCAAATGTGGCTCATAATGGATAATTAGCCTAGATAGCATGGTTTAGAGGCAGTTTCCAACATCACTTTCAAAATTTCTGCAAATAAAGCCAAGGCCTCTAGTCCAATGTAACTTTCTAAGTTGTCTTGGAGCACCAAGCATAGTTCATAGGCCAATCCCTTTATACCCAAAATTTTTGAGAAGTTAGATGAGATTATTTTTATTGGTAACTTCTCACATTTTATTTAAAGAATTAAAGAATAGTAGAACAATACAACAGAGATGTGCCAGTTACTCTAAATGACAATTTAGGCTAGCTTCATATTAGTGAGTTTGGCTCCTTGTCTTTGGAGGCCTCTGTTGTAATTTGTTGTTCTATTAATAAAACTTCACCTTACATTTCTCAAAAAAAAAAAAAAAAAGAAAAAAAAAAAACAACTTAGGCTACCTTTTGCTGCCTAACTCAAAAAAGATTTCAGCGCTTTAACTTAGAATAAAATTCCAGACTAATGGCACCCCCCTATACAGCTGATTTCTGGTCACATCCTGCCTTTCATATGCAAGATTAGATTTCACAAATCCATAATTCTTTCTTTTCTTATAATGAATAACAGTTTAGAATTTTATTGATTTTTTATAAGTAATGAATTTTATTTTAATTTTTTGATCAGTAACACAATCATAATCTTGTTATCATAATTTTTTTTGACAAGTGAATCAAAGAACCAATTTGGCTTTATGACAGGGAGATCAACCATGGAAGCTATATTTATTTTGAGACGATTGATAGAAAAGTTCAGAGAGAAGAAGAAAGATCTTCATATGGTGCTCATTGATCTAGAAAAGGCCAGTTCTTAGAGAGATCATATGGTGGGTCTTGGAAAAGAAAGCGCTTCAAAATATGTATATAGACCTAATTAAAGATATGTATGAGGATTGAGGAGGCAACAACCAATGTTAGAACACTAATGGGAGAAACTTCAGATTTTACAGTTATGATGGTTTTCACCAAGGTTCAACACTTAGCCCTTATCTATTTGCACTGCTCATTAGATGACTCAAAATATTCAAGAAGTTCCATGGTGCATATTGTTTGCGGATGACATTGTTTTAATTGAAGAAACTAATGAAAGATTAAATGCAAAATTAAGCTTAAGGACAAATGCCCTAGAAACAAAAGGCTTTAAAATAAGTAACACCAAAACAAAGTGTATGACATGTAAATTTGATAATAATAGGTGTGAATAAATATACACTTGGAATTGGAAACCAAGAGATAACTCAATGTGACCACTTCCAGTACCTTGGTTCAAAAATTCATAACAACAAAGAGATTAAGGAGGATGTCACCCAAAGAATTAGAGCAGGTTAGGCAAAATGGAGGGGTACATCTAGACTTTTGTGTGATAGGAGAATACCACTTAGATTAAAAGGAAAATTCTAAAAAATAGTTGTAAGGTCAGCTAATGTTGTATGGAGTAGAGTGTTAGGCAATCATGAAACAACATGTTCAAAAACTGAGTGTGGCAGAATTGTGGATGCTAAGATAGGTGAGTGGAAAAACTAGTAAGGATAGGATCAAGAATGACCATCCATAGCAACCTAGGAGTAGCTACAATAAGTGATAAAATGAGAGAGAGAGAGAGTACGCTAAGATGGTCTGGTCGCGTGCATAGAAGACCACCAAATGCTCAAGTTCGAAGAAGTGATTTGTTACAAGTGGAAGGGGCTAGAAGAGATAGGGGTAGACCAAAAAGGATATGGTAGAAGTAAGAAATTATCTAAGCACTAATAAGTTGATAGTGGATATGGTATTAAATAGAAAAGATTGTCGAAACAATATTCATGTAGTTGGGATAAGGAATGGACGATGATGATATCTCCTAGTGGCACCTGAGGTATTTCATTGGCCAGTTAGTGATAGCACAGCCTAGGGACTTCACTACAACAGTCAGCTCCTCTGCTCAAAGTTTATCCCTGCCACACACCTCTTCTCAAAATTGATTTTCAACATAGAAATAAATTCAAAGAGCTTTATCACCCTCCTTAACCATCCTGCCTTCCTAGGATCCCCACGCTCATAGAAAATGATCGTATCTTCCTCAAGGCTCAAACTACAAGTGTGTTACTAAAGTATTGTTTCCGCCTACCCTCCATCCTCTAAAAAGTTCCATCATATATGCCTTCAAGAGAATTCTACACAAGACATCCACAAATAAGGTAAAGAGGAAAGGGGGCCCCTTGTCTTAGTCCCCTAGTAGATAGAAAAAATCCCTTACCACACTAAGGATGGCAATGGGGCGGGTTTAGGGAGGGTTTTGTAAATTCTAGACCCCAGCCGCCTTCGTAAACCTCCCAACCCATACCCGCCCCAAAACCCATAGTGGGTTGGATTTTGAGATCCAAACCCTCCTCGCACATGAAAATGCAAAACCCTCCCCACATTCAAGGGTAGGGCGGGTTGGGTTTAGAACCCACATCTAAGCAACAATTTTTTTAAAGATAAATAAATAAAATTTTATTGCTAAAAAGAAAAGGCAAATACATCTTAACTAGGTGACAAGAAGTCACTCCAACCAAACAAAAACAGGGATCTAATAAATAACATGCTCCAATGTACAAAAACAAAGACAACAGGACTCCTTTTACAAATTCAAAGAACACCAAAAATCAGCACCAAAGTATTCTTTCTTCAGTCCTTGAAATTCTGGAAGAAGCAACACCCATCCAATAACTAAAGAGTTGATAACCACCACAACGTCTTTCTTACTTCTCCTTTTATCCTCGAAAACCCTTTTGTTTCTCTCCCTCCATACCTCCCAACAGACGGAAAAGGGATACAGCTCCAAAAAGTTTTGACTGTAATACCACCCTGAATTCTTGGCCAGCAACCAAAAATTTCAGCCGAAATAGACCACATGTCCACCCTAAAAATATTGAATAAATAGGACCATATTAGATTTATAAAACTGCATTGAAACAACGGATGTAGAATATTTTCCTCTCCAACAAGACACAGCACACATCTAATTGGAAACTGATAACCTCTGTTCTTTAAGATGTCCTGTGTTAAAATACAGCCTCTGTAAATCAGCCATGCAAAGATTCCCACCCTTGGGGGCACTGGTTTCCCCCAAACACCCCTCACTAGATTAGCCTCCACCTAACTTCTGATCAATGCAGAGTACATCAACTTGACTGTCTGCAGCTGAGGGATTAATCTCCACTGACTGAAGTTTTGCCAAGAATTCCAAACACTCCACCTCCCAATCGTATAGTGGTCCTCTGAAATTTGGGCTCCAAGCCACAAAACCATTATATAAGCAACAAATAAGTTAAATAACATAAACAAACAACAAAATTTCAAAATACTTGACTAAGACATGTAAAAAACACATAAACTATTTTTTTTAAAAGGTAAGATAAATTTATTAAAATGAACTCATAAAAGTACAGAACAGAACCTGCCCACAAACGGACAGGCCTGAGGGACTCCCACTACAAACACTAGATTGACTGAGGAGGATTGGATTCTTCACATGATACATAAAATTCAAAATATTATTCTTTCCATAAAAACACATTCTTCACATGTAAAAAACACATAAACTATCAATTGTTCTTCACATAAAATTCAAAATATTATTAAATTCAACACCTAATGCATAAGGTTCATATGCTTTCCAATGATATGCAGGTCGAGGAGGATTGGATTTAACCTAATACTGCACCCTACCCATACCCGTACAGGTTGTAGAATCCCAAAACCCGTCCAGACCCCAAAATCCGTTCTTCAAGCAAAAAGAAACTGCCCCATCAGGGCAGGTAGGGGCTGCCAGGCGGGTGCCCACCAGGTAGGGTAGAAACTGCCATCCCTAACCGCCCCAAGCAAAAAGAAACTGCCCCATCAGGATAGGTAGGGGTTGCCAGGTGGGTACCCACCAGGTAGGGTAGAAACTGCCATTCACCAACACCTAGTAATGACAAGTTTTCAAGTAACCTTCAAACTATCCACACCATCTTTCCCCAAAACCATAACACTTCAGGACATCCAAAAGAAAGACCCAATCCACCATGTCATATGCTTTCTCCAAATCCAATTTACACACAACCATTCCTCCTTCCCTTATAGTCCACACACTCATTAGCTATCAAAATTTGATCAGTAATTTGTCTCCTTTGAACAAAAGCCCCTTGAGAATGTGTTATCAGATTTGGGAGGGCTAGTTTTAATTTTACCAGTAACACTTCAGCCAAAATCTTGCAAATACTAGTCACCAAACTAATGGGTCCAAAGTCTCTCAGCTTGATGACATCCCACTTCTTAGGTATCAAAGCCATGAAAAAAGTAAAATTAATTCCTGGGCTAATGAAAGGTTCTTCAACAAATTCCTCAAAAACTCCCATCAAATCAAATTTAATTATCTCCAAAACAATCTTGATAAAAAGGCATTCTAAAACCATCCGGTCCCAGTGCTTTTGACTCATCCATTGAGAAAACAGCCCTCCTAATCTCTTCCAAATCAAAGTCCCGTTTCAATAATCTTGGTAAATCAGAATCGAACCTTGGCCAATCAAGCCCTTCCACCTCCTCTCTTCCTCAGTAATCAGGCTTTGGTTTCCTTTCTCATCCAACTACTCAATTTGGGAAGTCACACTAAGCTTCCTCTCTTCAATTCTTCCAAAATGTTCTCTATTCCACTCCTTTAATTCAGATTTCAAAGCTTTCTCAGTTAATGACCTAATCAGAAGAGCTCATACTTTTCTGTTCATCCCACACCTTTCTCAAACTGTCTTGGAAGCGCTTCAGGCAATCCGGATTTCACTGGCATTGGAGGCATTACAAGGGATGAAAGGGATAATATCTGTTAGGTTTTCAGTGGTCCGATAGGCTTTTCCGACTCTACTAAGGCCGAAGTGATGGCTGCTTTCACAGGAATTAGAATAGTGAAAAACATGGGCTTTCAGAATTTAACTGTTGCGAGCAATTCAGCTAATACCATAAAATGGCTAAGGGAGAAGTAGGGTGGACCACGGAGATTGAGTCATTATTTGGCAGAGGCTAGGGATTCTCCGGATTGTTTAAATGCAAACCAGATCTGGATAAGGGAGCTAAATCCTATTGCAGATGGCTTAGCCAAATTTGGTGCTCTTTTGGAGATTTTGTATAGTGATAGCCTTCCTCCTGTGTAAGCTTATGGGGCTCCCCCTCTGTGTTGTACATCTCCTCATGTACTTCTTTTCATAATGAATTTTGGTTAATTTTTCTCAAAATTTATATTGAACACAAATCTATCCACTTTTGAACGGATAGGGGTTATTGATTTGGTTATGACTTATGAGAATTGAGAAAGGTGTCACAAGATGTTTTCATGCATCAAATGGCTAATCCATCAGAGGTGGTTAGCCTCAGTTAACCATTTTATTTAGGATCCTTGAAATGCATACCCCAAACACCAAGCAATTACATCATGATATTGGTGGAATGCAATGAATCTAATTGCAAAAGACTTGATAGTTATACACACAAAACAGCAAAGAGAATGCAATGATAATACAAACATAACACGTGCCAAAAAAAAATATTAAGGCCATGCATTTAGCAAAGAGGAGAAAGAAGGCCTCTAAAAAATACCTCAACAGCATCAGCAACAGTTGTTGTCATGTCATAAGTAATTTCTTCAAAGGTTTCATCCAAGAAAAACACTATGGTCGTAAGTCTTTTTCCGGTCAAAAGGGCTTCAATCTCCTCTCGCCCAGGAATGGTATGCCTAGGACCAGCCTTGACAGAACGCTTCAAAGCATTTAATGTATTCAATGCAAATAGTTGGACTTCAGAATCTGTATTCACCCCATGAGCAACATAATGGACATACTCTGATAAATATCCCCCAATGTCTTTGTTAGGAGGCATCGAAGATGCACACAAATACATTAACTCCCATGCATTAATCAAGGATTGCCTGTACATCCAAATAAAATGGTTACTTAAAAAGTAAGACAACTAGAGAGAACAACTGATATGAATTGAACTTCAAACAGCAGAAAAATCAGCATACCTATCAGGATTATTGCGTGTTTGCTTTGATATTTGTACAAAAAGCTCATCTCGAAGTTCTGAACGCTTCAAAGTTTGCTTATACAGTTTACCAACAAGCTCAACCCGCTCCTCTAAGCTTACAGGAGATACCCTATCTGATAAATCAACTCCCATGTACTTCAAAATTATCTGGAATAATTTTATAGCCCGGCTTACAAGGTCATTGTTAATTCTGAGCAAAGAAGTTGGAATGGGGTCCTGGCAAAAGTTAAGATAGATATATCACAAGTTCGCACAAGAAAGATAGGATGAATCTCAAGAACATTACAAAAGCGAAGACTTCTTTTGAAAGCAAATCCATTCCTGTCACACCTTTTGAAAGCAAAGCATATCCTCAAATGTAAATTTTTCCCTAATATGAGGGCCTATAGATCTTTTAGAAAAAAACCCACGTTTTCCAGAAGATTGGATCTGCTTCTGCATGAACCTCAAGAATCCTTCTACCTATAAAGCAAAAACAACAGCAGAATGAGAATATGAAAGAACACTAGCAAAGCATAACAATTCCAACCTCTCCCTTGTTATGAAAGAACATAAACAAAGCACAACAATTCCAATAGGTGATAAAATGATAGAAAGTAGACTAAGATGGTTTGGGCACATGCATAGAAGACCACCAACAGCACCCACAAGAAGAAGTGTGCTGTTGCAAATTGAAGGGTCTAGAAGGGCTAGGGGTAAACCAAAACGGACATGGATCAAAGTGGTTAGAAATGATTTAAGTGACCATAATTTAACAAGGGATATGGCATTAAACAGAACGAGATGGCAAAACAGGATCCAGGTTGCCAACCCCATATAGTTGAGATAAGGCTTTGATGATGATGATGATGATTTTTTCACAGAATTCAGCATAGACTAAAATGTAATATCCTTCATACCCATAATATCTCAGTTAAATAAAATCCCTTCTGTAGAAATCTACAAAGCCCTTAAGCACTAAAGACCAAACTACAAGCATCCATGCACAACAAATGAAATCTCCCTTCAAAATCATACAATTCCTTTCTTAAATACAGCAAATAGCTGAATTTAAAAAATCATTGCCCAAATCAGATTACCTTTACAACCTGAAAATAAACAAGGCCAATAGGAAATGACATCTCTTATTAAAGAAGAGGGGGCATAATGGAAAATAAGGAGACATGGAGAGTTGAAAAGGAATTTGCATTCCTAAACCTAACCAACTTCGATAGATTCCATTGAGCCTCTAGAAAAAGCAAAATAGGAAGATCATACTGAAAAGAGGGGCAAAGTCCATTTGGAACAAATACAAGCACTTGTCGATCTCCCAACTTAAGAGAGGCTGGAAGAAAGTAAGAATCCAAGCCACCAAGTCAACTTCAAGGAATATATTTTATTAAAGGTCCTTCCAACCAAATTAGCAACTCTGAAGAGACTTGTGCTAAGGGAATTGTTCAAGTCAACAACGCTGCTTCCTATAAGGAGTTGTGTCCTCCAGAGCATAGCACAAAAGGCTCTATTTTAGTGAAGGTGCTTTCCCCAAAGCTGATGGATATGCCACTACAAAGAGCAGAGGTGGAACATGATTCATGTAGCCAACCCCTTACAGTTGGGACGAGGCTATGTTGATAGATCCTATTAAGCCTCTAGCACAGGAAATACAAGGTAAACATCACCAAAAATTTTACTTGGGACCCATCACCAGAAAATTGAATGTCACAGCACCACAATTTTTCCCTTGTGTTGTAAGCCAACTTCCATGGCCAAAATCCTTTCCCTTGGGGGGACTCCTCTCATTGTAGAATCCTCAATTTGTGAGTAAAAAACCTAGCAGTATAAATTCTTGGGGAAAATTAGGGGATGAATGCTTGTTATACTCAATGGTTTCATATTATCAATTATACGTTATTTTAATTGTTCAGTGCTCTTTGTTTTAACTTAAGCTTATCTATTACTATATAAAGTGGATACCCCATTTCATAGTCAACTATTTAACACCATGTGCCTTCCCGCATGCACATTTAATTTATACTCTTTCCAAACATTTGTTCTACCATTCACATGAATTTTTTGTTAAGGCTTTTCTTAGATAACCTACCAATTCAAATTTATAAACGACAATTAATTTTGCCATGAATATAAAAGAAAGATGAATAACTTAGGAAATAAAACAAAGTAATCTAGAAAACCATAGCACATCTTCCCACCTGAAATTTATCCATCAATGGTATAGCACTTGCAAGTTCTGCTGGAAAGGTCACTGGCAGAGACATTGGTGTGCTGCTTAAGGCAAAAAGAGAGAGAGATCACTTGAATCAGTGAACATGTTACTTTATGTTAAAATAACAAACAATGCAACAAACCCCTAACGCATTTTTAAGCTAACCAATTAATCAATAGACGCATAAATAAGAACATGCGCAAGTGAGCAGAAAACCCTATCAAAAAACGTAAATGGATGAAGAAATGAGAGAGAAAAAGATGTCCCACGTCATCTCATCAATACAAAACAAAATGTGGAGTCGTGAGTCAAGTTGGGAAATGGTTCCAAGAATAAGTTCTGACATTTCAAAACTGAGAACGAATTGAAACAATTATTGGCCTAGGTTTGAAATTGAGATTACAAGCGTGGTGAGGAAAAAATCCGTTAGCATTATCGTTCTAACAGTCTAACATAAGTTACAAAGAACTACAAGAAAACCAGCTCTACAATTTAAAGTTTGTAGGCAAAAAACATTATTGGGACTGATAAAAAGAACACAAAGTATTGGTAATCTACAATGTGACGTGACCATGATTTGTAAACCTTGAAATAATATAAGATAGTGAAGACTTACGAGGGTGCAAAATTAGAACCATCACTATCATACCCATCCCCATTAGAGAAGCGAGCCGAGCTGTGGAAAGGGGTTCCATTGCCATTGCTAGAGATCAAAGAAGAACGACTTGCTCTGACGCTTTCAGACATAACTGACGGTGTATCAACTGTCATTTGGATCAATTAACACCCCCTGCAGTTGAAATCGAGGAAACATTGATCAGTATAACCTTGTTGGTGTGTATGACTTGCACCAACTCAAATTGAAACAGACGAGACGCAGATGTACGTTAATATGGAGAAATCCAACAAAAAGAAAGGGTGAATGAGGATAGGCAACCGCTCCTCCGAAGAGTAATTAAGTGGTTTTGAATTAATACGGCTCCATTCAGAAACTATTTAAAAATCAAACAGAGCAAGGAGATGCGAAAGCGAACAAAACCTTTCTTCAGAAAATCAAACCAGAGCTTCCAAAAAAATCAGTTAAACAGATTGAAGAGTTCTCCAACTTGCCAACTCTTGCTTGCATCAAAAGAATAAAAATGAACAAAGCAAAAAATTAATTTTTAAAAAAAAAAAAAAAACCACAACAAAAGTTTGACTAAAACGAGGTGAAAACGAAAAGAATCTTCAATAAATCTTCCATCGAAGAGAGATACAAAGAAACGAGCTAAGCAATACTGAAGAACTGAAAATGTTAGACAATGAGGTAAAGTATTCAGATTTAAGCGAAAATGAAGCCAGATGAGTAGAGTATAAAAACAAAAACTGTGGAAGATGAATCGAAGTTTAAAATAAATAGGGGAAAAAAAAGGAGAATCGGAAAACTTAAGAAACCACTCTCAAGAGATGAAATCGATTCAAGAAGTGAAAATGATGAAAATGAAAAAAAAAAACAAAAAAAACAAAAGTACAGTATCAGAAGCGGAAATGAAAGAAGGCAATGCAAGCTTTGTCTGAAAACCAGGACTAAAGATAGCTGATAGATTTAAGAAATGAAAGTGATTATTCGAAAGGACCAGAAGCGAAGAGAGATGAAAGAAGACGAGAATTACGAGATAAATGGAGACGTTCGAAGCGATGTCGCATGGAAAAAACACAAAAAACAAGAGCTTCTTCGAAATAACCAATGTGCCCTCTGGAGAAAAAGGATCCCTGAATCTCTCTCTCTCTCTTCCTCAAGAGAAGAAAGGAGGCGGAGGGAACTGGGAAGAGTTGGAGTAAGTCACGAGAATATGTCAAAAACAACAACACACAGAGAGATTTCTCTTTTTTTGGGAGAAGAAGACAACAATAAAGAAATAAGATATTTAAAACAAAAAAAGTGCAAGAAATAAAAATTTGGTACTGTTTCTTTCAGTAAATATCGAAATTGACCCTAGGCAGTTCCATTTTAAATTGAAAAAGCCCCGTCGGGCGGGATATAACGTAGAAGGGAGTGTTGAAGGGAACGGGATATGCTCCACACACACGAGCGCCTCGCAGGCACATCCACCGTGCACCGTGCATTGGAACCAATGCGTGTGAGGTCGATGTGAGGCGTCATTGTGAGGAGCAGATCCGGTCTCGTATTGAAGACTGAAGATATACTTGTAGTGTGTCTTATGTATCACACGCAGACGCTAGACGCGTAGGGCGTAGTTAGCTAGGCGTAGTTAGCGCGTGAGTTGGTAGGGGTTGAGAAGAGAATCAGCCCTCACAAGATTGCTCCTACAACGTCCCACAGCACATCTCCGCCGTGTATCGGATTGGGACGTTGTGTGGGGGGCTGATTTGATCTCGGTTGAGACTTAAGACAGTCCAATCCTATCACAGGATAAGGTGTCCGAATCTCTTTTCTACACAAATTTTGTTTACGTCTACCCACATTACATTGCAGATACAAGGAAAATATCTCATTTTCCTACATGATATTATGCAGGGGAGATGTTAATTTGGAGTCGGGCCAGATATACCACGAGGGACCAATGGTTTATGAGTTCGGCTTCAATCAGTGCAGGTCCATCCTCCCATCGTTCAAGCACCCTCTTGTATAAATCGGCTTTAATAGTGCTCACACCATTCAAACACCCTCTTGCAATGACCGAAGCCAAGTTCCCTCTTACACTCTTGCATTGGGAATATCTCCCCATGAAATAAAGCACATAAATATGGAGATATTCCTAATTCAAGGATGTAAAGACTGTTGGAATGGGCATGGCACTGATTGAAGCCCATTTCCATAGTTACTGGTAATAATACTGACTTTTGGGGGTTATTGAAGAGTTTTTTTTTTCTATATGACACGTCAACCTATTCAGACCCTTTTTTGTTTTTTTGTCGAAAGTTTCCTAAATACTATTACTCTTTTGCCTCATACCGTGCCATGTGGAATAAGGCCTCGTTTGGCATCACTCCAAAGAATCTCATTCTCGTAACCCTTTTTGAAAATGATGGATTTTGAAAATTTTCATCCTGAGAATCACTATAGTCCTATTTGGCACGGTCATCTGATTCCTATTTTTAAGAAGTAGAAGCATGTTTGGCAGCAACCAATTTCCTTGAATCAATTATTTGATAAACAAAATGATGCAAACTCTAATAAATATAAGTTAAAATGAAGTTACCCTATACTCTATTACATGAAATTGTCAAATATATATAGGCTGCATTTGTTTTAAGTGTAAATTCAAATTTACACCGATGAAAATTTTGATCCCGGTTTAATGATCGGTGGAAAATTAAACCAGAGTATTTTGGAAATTTTCTCTCATGTCGTTTGGTTGTTCCGATGTAAAAGTGAAACTTTGTTCTAAAACTCTGAAATTTGGCTCTGCTCTGCTCTGAATCTTGTCATGGGTCCCATCCTTGTTCTGCTTTAAGAATATCATAACACATGGGTCCCAAAAATTGTTTGCTACAGCACACAAGGTGACTTGAAACTCTATTCTTCCCTGCTTGTTGCCAACAATGGGTTAAGAAGAAGAAGAGAGAAGGAGAAGAGAGTGAGAGAGGGAGAGAGAGAGTAAGCGACATAGAGGAAGAAGAAGAGAAGGAGAAAAGAGCTAGAGAGAGAGAGAGGAAGAAAGAGACGTTTACATTGATAACTTTGATGTATATATTACATCGATTATCGGTGTAAACAAATTCAAAATGAAATTCTACATCAATTTATGGTGTAAATTTACACTCTTTCCAAACGAATGTAAAACTGAACCGGGGTATAAAATTTACCTTGGTTCAATTTTTCACCCCAAACAAACGTGGCCATAAGAAAAAAGGAGAGAGGTTCACGTGTTAACACATTTCATTTTAAAATTAAAATGACACATATGAGTAATAAAAAAATGCCCAACAAGTAGATTGCTATCTAGTAATTTTGAATCCTAATTTTGAAGAAGTTTAAAAGGATATCGAACCTTCTTAGCACTCATAATTCCAAAACATGGAAGTAGGACTTTTATCTAGTAATTTTGAATCCTAATCTTTCTTGTTTTTTTCTTATGGTTTAGCCATTTAGGATATGGGATTGAAGAATAAAAAGAAGGGACATGGAATTCATCATAGTATGGTTGAGAATTGAGATCATTCAGTCGGTTGGGTTTTAACCCATTCGGGTTAACATGAATTATGAGAGAGAGAGATTTCAATTAATAACTAGTCGTGCACCAACTAGTTGAATAAATGTTGAAAAAGTAATTAACACCCACCCATGAGGTCATCAGTCATGACAATTGTGTAGATGATAACTGAGATGATCCCCTCCCCTCCCGGTCTGACCAAGAGATTCAGCAGGCCCATTTGGTTATAACTTCTGAAAGGTTTATAGAAGCTGAATTTTACCAAATCATTCGAAATCCTTATATGCAATATCTCTCTTGTATTTTTTACCAAATCATTCAAAATCCTTATTTTTTTACCAATACAATCCAAAAACTTAATACAAAATATATTCCTTGTAGTATGCATCGATCATCAATTTGTAAGTATAAACATCAGGAAGAGTCCCCTTAAGTTTCATTTCTTCATAAAGCTCAAGTCCATCCTTATAAGAGCTTTTTCTGGAGAACCATTGCATGCTTGTATAAATATCAAGAAACAACTTCTCAGAATTGTTATTCACCTCTACTATATTGTTTTTTAATTTTTATCAGTAACATCCAAGACAGATTTATATTAATATAGAGGGAGAAATTTCGTGCATTCCGAAACTATTGGAATGAGAGATGGGTAAAAAAAGCCTTAGCTTGACATGTTCTTTGTCAGATTTTCATACAAGTTAAGATAGATTACTGGATCTGGTACCCCAAAAAAAAAAAAAAAGAAAATAACAGATTACTGAGCTCAATACAAGCATTTCAACTAAATAAGTTTTTAACTAATAACTGTTACATTGCCGTCCTAGTTATAGCATCACCATTTGTGAGCAACAATCAATTTTTGGGGATCAAGAGGGAACAAAACAGAGAGAATGAAACAATCAATTTATCGTTTTGTGGATGCATTTGTAACAGCCCATGCACTAATAATAAAATTCATTGGGATCAAGAGTTCCATACCTGTAAGTTTGGAGAGTGACGACGGCGTTGGAGATGACTAGTGGAGAAAGAATGACTAAAAGAATTCTTAGACTGAGGAGAAAAGAAAATAACAATGGAGAGAGTTATTGCAACTTGCAATAAGATGTCGTATGAGGAAGATGATGTAGAAAAAGCAAAACTGGTTGAAATATTACCTGAGATAGAGTATGAGAAAGATCATGTTGACGATGCTAGAGAGGGATGAAGAGAATCCCTGCAACTTGCAAGAAGATGCAAAGAAAAATGTGAAAAGAATGAGGGTTTTAGGTTGAATATGTTTGCAAATACCATTTTACCCTCACTATCCTGTGTGACTCTTGTCACATGTGTTCATTTTTTAAAGGACATTGAGAGAATGAATTCGACTGAGAATTCTCATTTAGAGAATCTGATTTTTCACTCCAATGACCTTGAATAATAACTCTAATACAAAAATAATCAGCCATTGAGAATCAGTACCAAACAGACTCAAAAGTTGATTTCTCCAAAATGGGCTTACAAGGTATAAATGATACCAAACAAAATTTTTGGTGAATTTTTAAAAATCATTGATTCCAAAAAATCACTGATTTTTTGAATAATCGATAAGGAGGAATCATTATTGATGATGGGTAATTTGGTCCAATCAATAATGTTGCAGCACATGACCTTCAAGTGACATCTCGGTGTTGAGTAAGCAAACTAGCTCGGCAAGCCAACTTGGAGCACCTCGTCCAGGCCAACCTCCACCTTGGCAGTGCCGAACTGGTTGACCTCGTAAGATTATGGCGACCTGTCCTAGGAGTCGACCGAGCCGTAGGAGTTCATGGCGACATGCGAGGAAGAGCTCGCTGACCCAGCAGTACGTTACCAACCCAAGATCCCCAAAGCATTGATACCTCGACTGTTAGACTAGCCTACCGCATTGCATGCCACAGAGTTACTTGGTTAGGTCGTAACCTCGCGCGAATCTCACAATTGTACATTAACGCGCTTGAACGAAGTGGAAACGGTTCCGCAAGAAGCTCAGGCCTGTTACAAAAGGGCTATGACCACTGATGCCTATAAAAGGCACTCACTCCTACCTAGAAAGGTACGCGTGATTATACATTTTTTAGCTCTCTCAAGTTCTCAAAAGATTTTTACAAAACCCCTCTGACTTAAGCATCGAAGCACCCTCCCTGGATAAAGACACCCGGGCACTCTAATTCTCTTTCTCTTGTAGTATATATCAGTTTGGCCTAGCATAGCTTGGCCCTGACCTGGAAACATCTAAATCAGAGTCCGAGTCATCAGACACGATGGAGCTTACAGATTGCATGACATCAATTATCAATGCCAAACATTGATTTCAAATTTAAAATTTTCAAAAAAAAAAACAATGATTTCAAATTTAAAAATTTGATAAGAAAGAATCGGCTTGGCCAACATAACAACAACGATGCCAAATAAATAATTTCTCTGATTTATGGGAAATCATAGATCTCAAGAATTAATG